AAAAAAAAAAAAAGAAAGAAAGAAAGAAATTGGGACTGTCCCGCTTTTAGTTGGTTGCCTTAGTTGTTGAGAGTATGAGTTGATGATAATTTTCTATTATTTAGAATGGGGGAGGGTGGGGTGGCTCAAAGGAGTAGGGCACCAGCTCCATATGCCAGAGATGGTGGGTTCAAACCCAGCCCTGGCCCCAAACTGCAAAATTAAAAAAAAAAAAACAGGGGTCCTTAAACTTTGTAAACAGGGAGCCAGTTCACTGTTCCTCAGACTGTTGGAGGGCCAGACTGCAGGCCCTGGGACGAGTTGGCTGCTAAGCAGGACAGGCAGTGGCAGCAAAGATACTAGGCAGACCAGATAAATGTCCTAGACGGGCTGCATGTAGCTCGCAGGCCATAGTTTGAGGATGCCTGATTTAGAAAGACTGATCTCCCCTATGTTAGGGCATGCAGCTCCATGGGAAGTATGCCCAGAGCCCTACAAAGGATATTTGTGGCTCTGGCTTGAGTCTTCATGTAAAGCCCTGTTCTCTCAGCACATGGGTTTGATGTAGGTTATAAAGTGAGCCCAGGCTCAGAGCCTGTGGCTCCAGCAACTAAGGCGCCAGCCACATAAACCTGAGCTGGTGGGTTTGAATCCAGCCGGGGCCGCCAAACAATAATGGCTGCAACCATAAAATAGCCACGCGTTGTGGCAGGCACCTGTAGTCCTAGCTACTTGGGAGGTGGAGGCAAGAGAATCGCTTGAGCCCAGGGGTTGGAGGTTGCTGTAAGCTGTGATGCCAGGGCACTCTACCCAGGGTGACAGCTCTATCTTAAGAAAAAAAAAAAAGAAGAGATAAAGTGAGCCCAGTTCCCATTAACCTGAGCGTTTGTTCCCAAATACGTCTTGAGTTCTGATTGGTATGCTTTCCATTGTAGGCCAATACTTATGAGGAAACTGGTTATTTTGAGAGGAGTAGACAAGTGCATGGCGTTCTGGATGGGGGGTGGTGCGAAGGGACAGTGGGTGCTTGTTCTTGCTAGCATGAGACTATCAGTTGCACCTTTGCCACTCTGCTTTTTCTGTCAGAATTACAGGTGGAAGAAGGTCCGTATCTTTTTCTGTGGGTGCTTCAGGCGTCTTTGGAAGTGGAGGCAACAGCGTGAAGGGGAGGCTTTCCCTGCTGGACATAGCTGAGCTGATTCGGGCTGGAGCCTGCCAGAGGGTGATTGTCATGGTGGGCGCCGGCATCAGCACACCCAGTGGCATCCCAGACTTCAGGTGCTGCTTGTAGTCCCAGTTGTCTCCTGTACTGCTCCTGTGCTGCCCCACTTGATACCTCTCTTCTGAATGGCTCAGAGTGTCTTCCTTTTCTCTCTACAGATCTCCAGGGAGTGGCCTCTACAGCAACCTCCAGCAGTACAATATCCCTTACCCTGAAGCCATTTTTGAGCTCACATTTTTCTTTCACAACCCCAAGCCCTTTTTCACTTTGGCCAAGGAGCTGTACCCTGGGAACTTCAGGCCCAATGTCACTCACTACTTCCTCCGACTGCTGCATGACAAGGGGCTGCTTCTGCGTCTCTACACACAGAATATTGACGGGCTCGAGAGAGGTGAGTCCTCTGTCTGTCTCACTTGTTCTTTTCAGGGAGGGCTAAAGTCTCATGCTTGGACTTCATCCTTGGGACTTTTTTTGAGCTAATTGTTTATGCCTGTGTCTCCAAATATCCTCTGGATGCCTAAGGGCCACTGCCTGTTGCCCTGGCATACCTGCTGGGCAGTATATTTTGGGCAAAACTCAAGTTGGCATTGTTTCGCTAATCTGGTATGATTTTTATTTTACTTTTTTATTATGAAAACTTTTTCTTTTTCTTTCTTTCTTTTTTTTTTTTTAAGAGACAGAGTTTTACCCTCAGTAGAGTGCTTTGGCATCACAGCTCACAGCAACTTCCAGCTCTTGAGCTTAGGTGATTCTCTTGCCTCAGTCTTCCCCAGTAGCTGGAATTACCAGTGCCTGCCACAACGCCTGGCTATTTTTTGTTACAGTTTGGCTGAGGCCAGGTTCAAACCTGCCACCTTCCGTATATGGGGCCAGTGCCCTACTCACTGAGCCACAGGTGCCACTTGGTTTTATTTTTTGATACAGAGTCTCACTCTGTCACCCTGGGTAGAGTGTCCTGGTGTCATAGGTCATAGCAACCTCACCCTCTTCGGCTCAAGCAATCCTCTTGCCTCAAGTAGCTGGGACTATAGGTACCTGCTGCAATGCCTGGCTAGTTTTTCTAGTAGAGATGGTGTCTCGCTGTTGTTGAGGCTAGTCTTAAACTCCTGAGCTTAAGTGATCCACCTGCCTCAATCTCCCAGAGTGTTGGGATTAAAAGTGAGAGCCACTGTGCCTATCCTATTATGGAAGTTTTTAAGTCCACAGAAATAAAGAGAAAAATGTAAGGAATGTGACCTCATGTCCTCCTCACACAGTGTCCATTATGAAGACACAGCCCATCCTTGTTTCTTCCTCTGTGTCCTCCCAGACTCCCAAATTTTCTTTTTTTTGAGACAGAATCTTACTATGTAGCCCTTGGTAGAGTGCTGTGGCGTCACAGCTCAGAGCAACCTCAAACTGTTAGGCTTAAACAATTCTTTTGCCTCAGCCTCCCAAGTAGCTGGAACTACAGGTGCCTGCCACAATGCCCAGCTGTTTTTTGTTGCAGTTGCCATTGTCATTTAGCAGGCCTGGGTCAGGTTCAAACCTGCCACCTTTGGTGTATGTGGCTGGAGCTATAACCACTGTACTGTGGGTGCCAAGCCCTTCCAAATTGTTTTGATGCTAATCCTTCAACATCATACATTTAATCTAATAACATATAAACACATCAGTGACTATCTCTAGAAGATAAAGACTTAAAAACACAACTCTGATACCATTATCACAGTAAAGAATCACTATTCTATAATATTGTCAGATTCAGTCTGTGCTGATATGTTGACTGCATCCACATGGTGGCCTGAGCAAGTAACTCATAGGTTGTGAGGCTTAGAGAAGTACTCGGTGGGGGCTCTTCCTTACGTGCAGTGATATGAACAGGTACAGGAGCAGGCAGTTCTCAGTGGGGCAAGAACAACTCAGCCACTCTATAGATATGTCAACATTTAAAAAGAGGAGTCACCACAACTTCAGGAACATACTTCCTTGCTAGGAGAGTGGAAATGGTTGCTTCCCCCAGAGCTATGGCATGGCAGGCCAGGCCTTTGGGAAGGTAGGAGAGCCTGGCTGTGGTCTCAGCACTGCCTAGTTATGACAATGAAGGACCCAATCTGCCCACTGCAGTCTTCGGGAACCAGACAGTGGTTACAAACAACTTTGATAAAAAGTTGCTTTTTATCTTTTTCTGCCAAGCAGGTTTTTTGTGTTTTTTTTGCAGTTTTTGGCCAGGCCTGGGTTTGAACCCGCCACCTCCGGCATATGGGGCTGGCACCCTACTCCTTTGAGCCACAGGCGTTGCCCCCAAGCAGGTTTTTTATTCAATGTATAATATTGATATCTTCATTTTTACTTGTTGTTTAAAGAATATAAAATGTGTTCCTAGGTATCAGATATAATTTTATGTGAACTTGTATCAAATGTTTGTTTGCAGTGTGTTTTGTTTTAATTGTGATGTGGCTCCAGCTGGGAGTCCCTTAACCCCTGTGCCTTATTCTGGCTCATCTATAGGTGATAAAGTCCCTGGGCTTTAGGGACTTTATAAAGGTGGGGGTATCAGGCTATACCTCTCAAAGGCCTGTCAAGCCCAGAAGTTATGCTTTGGGGACTTGTGCACTCACCCCAGAGGCAGCAATACTTAGCTGTGGTCTGAATTTCAGTGTCTGGCATCCCTACCTCAAAGCTGGTTGAAGCTCATGGAACCTTTGCCACTGCCACCTGCACAGTCTGTCAAAGCCCCTTCCGAGGGGAGGACTTCTGGGTGAGTTACCCCACTGACTCTTCTACCATTCATGGTAGGGTGACCTGTGGTATCTTTAAGTGTCAAATTGGAAGGATAGTAGAACAGTAATGGTGTGAAAATACTTTTATTTTAAAATGATGTGATGGAATTTTTTCAGAAGTCAGAAGCCTGTAGTACGGTGGGGGCAATGTGGATAAGATGATTATGGCCTGGGCCAAGCAGCAGGAGTGAAGACAGGGTAAGATGGCTTTAATAGACTTAGCAGACAGGCCTGACTGGAGGTGGGGAGAGCAGAGGTCTAGAAAAGTGTTCTAGGGAAGAGACCTCTGGATATACTTGTCTGGAGGGGGAGCTTAGGAAAGATTGTGGGTGGAAAATGTAAATTTGAGAACCCTTAGACAACAGGTGATAAATGCCATGAATATGGATGAGGTCTTTTAAAAATTCAAATAAATCGGGTGATGTTTCTTTAACACAAAGTGAAAGAAGACATTGGTAAACTTTTGGCAACTGGCAGTAGCGCTGGAAACCCCTACGAGTTTCTTTCTAGAACCCGAAGATAAAAAAAGGATGAAGAGGCGGTGCCTGTGGCTCTGTGGGTAGGGCACCAGCTCCATATACCAAGGGTGGCGGGTTCGAACCCGGCCAAACTGCAACAGAAAAAATAGCCAGGCGTTGTGGTGGGTGCCTGTAGTCCCAGCTACTCAGGAGGCTGAGGCAAAAGAATCACCTAAGCCCAGGGGTTGGAGGTTGCTGTGAGCTGTGATGCCATAGCACTCTACTGAGGGTGATAAAGTGAAACTCTGTCTCTTAAAAAAAAAAAAAAAGATGAAGAAAGGCTAGAAAGGGTTCCTAATGGAGACCCCAGGAAGGTATCCTGAGAGGCTCAGCGTGGACTGGGCTGGTCAAGTGCAGGGTCCTACACCAGGCTGGGATGTAGTTCCCAGCCCTTGGGTCCCATCCCCTGCCCACTGGCCCTTCATCCTTCCTCTGGGATCTTGCTCTCTCTTTCTCTGAGTCCTGCCCTTTGAGATCTACCTTCATTTTCTGTCTGCTGGTATTACATGTGTTGTAATACATGCAAATTACTACATGCATAGTAATACTTGTAAATTTCCTTGGCTATCAACAGTATAAATTTACTTGGCTATCAACCTGACCTACTATTCTGCAGTACTAAACTCTCTTACTTTACAAAGCAATTCCCATAACCCCACTTTCCTATCCCAGCATTTTTTTTTTTTTTTTTTTTGAGACAGAGTCTCACTATGTCACCCTTGGTAGAGTGCCATGGCATCACAGCTCATAGTAACCTCAAACTCTTGGGCTTAAGTGAGTCTCTTGCCTCAGCCTCCCAAGTAACTGGGACTACAGGTGTCTGCCACAACGCCCGGCTGTTTTTTTTTTTGTTGTAGTTGTCATTATTGTTTGGTAGGCCTGGGCTGGGTTT